TTCAATCTTAAATAATGAATTCAATCTTAAATTAATTCAATCTTAAATAATGAATTCAATCTTAAATAAGGAAATGTTGTGCATTGTTTGAGGTTTCTAGAAGTCATTTTTTTTTATGTTAAACCCACGTGGGTCCTTTTCTTGTTGCTCCGAGCACAATGATTTTACACCTTTCCTTTTGTGCTGTTGGCTCGAGGAACGTGTAGGAAAAGGCTGTGCCTGAGCTGCCGCCTTCTCTCTGACCCGGATTCGCACGGCCGCTGTAATTTTCCCGTTTCTGCTGCTTTTTGCTGGCGCGACACAGACAGATAAGAAATCCTGGCCCTGCCCCGGTGCGCTTTGTGAGACACCGACCCGGCAGAAGCGGCGCCCGAGCGAGGGCGCGCCTCGGGGGGGAACGGCCCCGGGAGCGCGGGGAGAGCTCGGAGCGCTGCCCCGGCTCCGTCCCCGCGGGAGGATCCGCGCTGCGGGAGCGCGGGGAGAGCTCGGAGCGCTGCCCCGGCTCCGTCCCCGCGGGAGGATCCGCGCTGCGGGAGCGCGGGGAGAGCTCGGAGCGCTGCCCCGGCTCCGTCCCCGCGGGAGGATCCGCGCTGCGGGAGCGCGGGGAGAGCTCGGAGCGCTGCCCCGGCTCCGTCCCCGCGGGAGGATCCGCGCTGCGGGAGCGCGGGGAGAGCTCGGAGCGCTGCCCCGGCTCCGTCCCCGCGGGAGGATCCGCGCTGCCCGAGCCCGGCTCGCTGAGCCCGTCCCGCGGATCGCCGCGGCGCGGGGGAAGGACTTGGAGAGATTTCCCTCCCCTCTCCCCGTGCCTCGGCTTGCCGGCGCTCGGTCCGTCCCCGCGGGAGGATCCGCGCTGCCCGAGCCCGGCTCGCTGAGCCCGTCCCGCGGATCGCCGCGGCGCGGGGGAAGGACTTGGAGAGATTTCCCTCCCCTCTCCCCGTGCCTCGGCTTGCCGGCGCTCGGGGTCACCCCGGGAGTCTCTTTTGAGTCGGAATTCTCCGGTTCTGGTCCGCAAGGC